ATATATTTCGTATAATAATAAAATTATTTTAAATTAATTTTAAATTCTTGTCAAAATGAAAGAAATAATTTAACAAAACGTTAATATTATTATACTTTATTAACGAAACATTAATATTATTATACTATTTGACATATCATGTTTAACCAATCGAGTTTGTTATATAAGGATAATAATTCTATTAAATTTTATTGATAATTACAAATTAATAACTACAAGTTTATAGTTTTTGTTTGATAAAATCTATTTTATTTTTATAAGATTCTTTTTATAGAATTATAAATTTGTATAAAAGTTTTTATGTCATATCTTTTGTATAAATGGTAAAACGAGTGATTATTCAATATAGAAATTTTTCCATATAAAATCTATTTTATCTTTTTAAAATTTCTTTTATTTTACAAGATTACAAGTTACATCCTATTTTTGATATATTTTTTTAAATGATACTTTGTATAAAATACTTTATTTATTATGGAAATAAATGTTATAAAATAAACTTTTTGAATACAAAAACTTCAAAAAATAAAGAATTTAACTTTTTTATCATATAATTATCTTTTTTTGCAAAAATAATTTTGTATGGCTGCATATAATATCTAAAAATATATAATACAAAAAGAAAAATAATTCTGTGACAGTAATTAATAAATGCTATAGTAATAAAGTCTTAAAACTCAAAACTGAGCAAAGTTTACGAAATATATTTTAATCTTAAAAATTAACATATTATCATATCTTTGTTATAGGAACAAAATGGCACAAAATGCAAAAGATATTAACACCTATGTTTCATTTTAATATATTGAAACAATTTGTCGAAGTGTTAATTGAGGAAGGAAATAATATAACACAGTCTTTGAAAAATATTAAAGGATCAACTGTCGATGATTTAGCATTCTTTATCGGTCATCACACGATGAATGTAATATGCGGTAAATTAATGCCTACATAAAACAGAAAAATTTGCTTAGAACAAACATCGGTTACATTTATATAAATTTTTATTCATTTCATCCTAAAAATTTTGAAAGTTTTGAAATATATTATTTTACAAAAAAGAACTTTCAATCAAATAGCTATTTTCCATTTTATAATAATCAAATTATTAAGATCAACTTAATAGAAATAAATACTTGCGTAATGTTCATATATACATATATTTAGAAATAGTCATGGGTACTTCCTTACAAGAAATAGGCGCGTTCCAAGAGCAATATCGTCAAGCAATCTATGAATTGAGAGAAATTTACTTTTACAGGTAATTCACACAGATAGCAATTTTAATTGGATATTTTATAATTATAACATAGTTATACTTATTAATATCAACTTACATAGTTATACTTTTTAATACCAAAAAGAAAAATAAAGCCATTATAATACAATTGTTAAAAATTGTTGTAAAAATTACATGTAAAAATTATGTAAAAATCATACTTATTAAAAAATTAATTATTTATTAAAATTTGTTATATAATAATTTATAGATCATTGAAACCGTGGTTATATTTCGATATGATATTTGCTTTAACGCCAATGGGTAGAAGGTACGCCAAATATTTGAAAATATTGCATGGATTAACTGAAAAGGTGATTACAAATGATATTATTTAAATTTGTGGAAATCTTCTTTTAAATAGAATTCTAATAAATCTGATATAATCTTCTAAATATATTATAATCAAATATTGATAATATGTTCTATGTTTTATAACAATATTATAACAAATTATTAAAATAATAAAAATATATACATTTTCTTTAGATTGTTGCAAAAAGGAAAGAATATCATGAACGCACCGACGGACGATATTTAAAAAATTTTGATAATGAAACAAACATTGAAGCAGACGATAAGGAGGTGATAGGAGGAAGTATGTATACACAAAATAGGCAAAATTTGTTTTATAAAATTAATATTCACTGTTTTATAAAATTAATATTCAATTTATTTTATTAATTTAAGTGAAGAAAAGACGATTTACTATGTTGGATTATCTAATATCAGTGGCTCGTAATAATGACATAAATGATATAGACATTAGGGAAGAGATTGATACGTTCATAATGAAGGTTTGCATTTCTATACAATATGAATAAAATGCAAGCGTTTGTATCTTGAATCTTATGAATATTATGTTGAAATTAGTGGAGTAATAAAGAGGTAGAGTGAAAGAAGGAAAGATTGTATAATTACCTTTTTTATTATGTATCAAAGAGCATATAATTGTAATAATTACATCAAACAAAAAGGAAATAAAAAGAAGCTTTTTTTATTTTGTTAATTTTAAAAATTGAGTATACTTAATCTACATGTAATAAAAAAAGAAATTTGAAAGATTTTTTTATTATAGGGTCATGATACTGTGATGATGAGTGTAATTTATGCGCTATTGTTACTAGCTGAGCACAAAGATATACAGGTAACTTTCTAACGAGTAATCATATTATTAATTAATATATTAGAACAATTAATTGATTTTGATATTTTATTTTCAATAATTTTTAAATAAACAATATTTTAAATAAAAAATGATTTAAAAATACATAAGCAAAAATATATTTTTATTTTTATTTCTAACTTAATAAATTAATTTATTGTACATATAATGCAGTAATTCAATTTAATTAGTAATTAAAAAAAATCCTTTAAAAAGATGTAGAACTTTATTTCCTTTTTAGGAATGTGTCAGAAATGAAATTAGTGCCATAATGCAAGCAAATGAAGGGAAACTTTCCATGTCAGCATTAAATAATATGTCTTATTTGGAAAGATGTTTGAAAGAGTCGTTGAGATTATATCCTAGTATGCCTTTTATAATGCGAACCATATCAGAAGATGTAAAATTAGGTTAATTAATCAAATATTATAGACATAGAACAATGAAACAATGTTTTATAAAAGCCTGTAATATATAAATATTGATTTTAATTTTTTTTTAATAATTATTAAAATGATTTAATTTAATTTTTTAATAATTAATAAGTTTTATTCTCTTTTTGCTATTTCTGTTACATATTTTTCATTATAAATATATAATGTTCAAATAGAACTTCTCATTTCTAAAATATTTTTATAATTAGTTTTGTCAATTATGTAACAAATTTGTCATTTCCCAAGATTATTAATATAAATGATAAAAAGTTTAACTTAAATAAAATATATATAAGCATATGTATTTGCTTCTCATAAATTTTATTTAAAAATTATCTTTTGTTCTACACACATCCGCGCGCGCGCGTGTATAGGTACATACATACATATACATATTCCAGCAAACACGTTATATGTAATATAAATGTGAGTTGAAATTTTCCACTCAATAATGTAACCGCATTATATAACGCATGTGTATAATAGTTACAATTATTGAATGGGAAATTACAACTAACATTTATATTAAATGTAACTAATGTTTGCTATACATTAGTATACACATGTATATAAACATTATATATAAATTTGCCTATATATATATATATATATATATATATATGTGTGTGTATGTATGTGTATGTATATATAATTTTTCAGATTCATATTTGGTGCCTTCTGGAACAACAGTGTTTCTCAACATTTATGATACTCATAGAAATTCCCATTTCTGGCCAAATCCAGATGTATTCGATCCTGATAGATTTTTGCCTGAGAAAATTCAAAATCGTCATCCTTATTCCTACATACCGTTTAGTGCAGGACCTCGAAATTGTATAGGTAATGTAAAAGATATTAATTTTGAATTTATATAAACAAATACTAATATATTTATGAATAACAGGACAACGATTCGCTATGTTGGAAATGAAAGCTATAATAGCGCCATTGATATACAATTTTTATTTGGAACCTATAGATTATTTAAAGAATATTCGTTTCATGGCAGATTTTGTATTACATGTTGTACATCCCATCCGAGTACGATGTGTTCCAATTGACCGTACGCCATCGACTTTATTTAAAGCCATATAATTTTAAATATAAAAAAAATAATTTTTTTAAACTATTGATATAAAAGTCAGTCATTAGAATTGTTATGTTTGTCTTATAATTGTTTTTTTAGTGTAAATACTAATTCATTTAATTAATTCTTTATATATTGTAC